AAGAAACTTTCTAAATATATACAGATTCGATAGGGATAAGATAACGAGCGTTTGCTACTCATATATCACATATTAGCTCATTCTTTATAAAAGTGCTATGAAAGTCTTATGTGCCTTGAAAATATGTTGGACTAGTATTTTCTTTAGTTCCTTGGACCCGCATACATTTAATATCGATGTTTAAATCTCTCGATGTGATCTGTGGTTTAGGGTAAGAGTTCTCTCCACTATTGTCGAAATATATACCGAAATAAAAAAAAAAAAAAAAAAAAAAAATTTGTAGCACGATATTGTTCACGTAGCGATTAAATTTACTGTACGATTAATTTATTTAATTAATGAGAAATTTTTTGTATGTGTGTGTGAATATAAAAAATATTCTTTAAAATAATTAAAGCGGATTTTAGTGCAATTTCTGTCTAGGATTATACTATTGTAGTATATAGGTCGTCGAATATGTCTATTATGTTAGTCTAGTTGGCTGGCCCTACTACGCTTTGCATTAATAATGATATATTAACGAAAAAATAATTTGTATCTAATTCCAATTTTCGTTTGCGCAGAACCATGACCAGAGAGGACGTGGCAATAATTCAGGAACGCAGAATGTCCCAACAAAGTCAAGGTATATTATGTTTGCTCTCTTTCTCTCTCTCTCCTAGCGCATAAACATTATAGTATATTAAATAAAAATAAATAAAAACAATGACAAATTAATATTCTTTACAGCAACGGGCAGTCCTAATCCTATATCACCGAGCTGTCCGCCGACTGCGCAGCAGCAGCAGCAACAGCAGCAACAGCAACAACAATCCGGTCACCATCGAACTTCGTCGGCACCGCCGGCGCCGCAGCCACCGCAACAGCAGCAATCGGCACTAATGCAGGGTGTCAGCGGTATGGTCCCAGCTCCTCCACAAATGTCAACTGGACCGCCGCCGGTACCGCCGCCTCAGCCGCCGATTGCACCCCCCGCCCCGCCATGTCCGCCAGCAATGATGAACTTTAATTCGTCCGCGGCACCGGCGCCACCGCTGATGATGAATCAGTACGCGCAATCACCATCATCCCAATCGAACCTTGCAAATCAACAGTCCCAGCCCATTTACGTTACTAATCAGGCAAGTCAGTACGGTGCCGCGCCTACGAGTAATCAGTACGCAAGCGCTGCTCCCGTTGGCGGAACCGGAAGCAGCGGTGCGAGCAGCGTCGTGGGCCAGAGTCCAAACCAGTATCCGCAATCCAGCAGTCAGAATAATTTCTATGGTACTAACAGTCAGACGAGCAATTACGCTACGGGAGGACAGGCTAATGCAGGCCAATACAACCAATCGACCGGCAATCAGGCCGCGCCGTATGGCAGCGTTGGTGGTAATCAATACGGAAGCAGTAGCTCGATAAATCAGTACGCCGCCGGTCCGCCGCCGCCTGGTCCGGGAAGCCAATACGCGGTCGCGCAACCCGGTCAATCGCAGTACGGCAGCATCGTGTCACAGGCGCAAGCACAATATGGCGGTACAGGTAGTCAAGCAGTCCCCTCAGCAGGCACCACAAATCCGTATGGGACACCATCAAACTCGGTGAATCAGTACGCCGCCAGTGGACACCTTACGGTCGGCGCAAACGCTTACGCTCCCATTGTTAGCAGCGGCCCGCCGCCGCCCCCAATGGTACCACTGACCGGAATCGCCGCACCACCTCCACCGCCGCCACCACCCGTACCTAACGCTAACAGTTCCATCGCCAGCGCCTCGTCCATCAGTTCTTCAAGCGATCCACCGCCCGATACTAATTCATTAGCCGCCGCTCTTCAAGCTCGTCTTAAGAAGAAACAGGTAATTTTATGAACTTTAATCTTCTAATGGAAATAGTTACCTCTCGTAAAAATGTAAAATGGGAATTATTAATATATTAACATATTAGATGTATATAAAAATAGCAATTATATATCGTAACATGTAAATATTATAACAATGAATCTTTTCTGCCAATAGCAACAATCGCAGCCCGTGGAAAACAGTGGATCGAGCACTAGCAGTAGCGGTAGTGGAAGCGGTGGCAATTATGGTACTTTAGGAAGAGGTGGAGGCGGCGGAATGGCTTCCATGATGGACGAGATGGCCAAAACTTTGGCACGCCGACGAGCTGCCGCCGAGAAAAAGCAACCTGAACAACCACCGGTATGTAGATATCGCGTAACTTAAATACTTTATGCTTTGTTAAACACATTCAAAGATTGACGAGAGGAAAAGAGAAGAGGAAAGATAGCAAGATTTTTTTCGCAGGAGCCGGAAAGCTCACCAGACAAAAAATCTTGGGATAAGAACAACACATCAAATAATAAGTTCTCCAACGGCGCCGAATCGCCGAAATCAGTACGCAAGAGGTTTGGCTCGGCCTCGGAGGATACCCTCCTCAAGGTAAACGGAGTTAACGACGGCACCTCGTTTACCGCGCAAGAGATGGAGGCCTTTAAAGTGGAGATAATCAAGGAAGTGCGTAAAGAGTTCCAAAAAATGAAGCAGGAAATAATCGATGGTACGGATATATTATTATTGCAGTTATAAAAAATTTTGTTATCGTTCGACAAAATATGAAATATTAATTTTATATTTTCAGTTGTGAGAACAGAACTGAATAAGAGATAAAGAATATGATAAAAAAGAAGCAAAGGAGCCCAGAGCCGAACTCTCGAAGCCGACAAGAATAAGACGGGAAAAACAGAAAATAAAAAAGTAATTAAAGAGAGAGTTTTATGACTAGATCGCTCGATATTGGAGCGACATTAACGAGAACCATATACAGGTTTTTACAACGTATTTGCAACAGAATGTAGTGTGGTTACATTCATGTATATCGGACGTTTATGTGTAAGTAAATTAATCCAATTTAGTATTTTAAGTGACCGTTAATCCTTTCGTTATTTGCTATATAAATAACAATCGTAACGAAACGTTGAATCAGTTGAGTTTCGTTTGAGTTTAGTTTCATGGAAAAAGTCTCTCGATACAAGCACAAGGGATCACGAGAAATCCTTACAAGTTTCAAACGAAAGAGAAACTTTTTACAATGAAAATATAAAATAAGTACACGCGCACAATGAAGTACTATTAAATCGCTTTGTAGATTAAAGAAGATATTGATAAAAATCAAAAAATGGTGTACTATTTATAATATGTATAAATAATATCAATCTCTATACACACGTATAAATATCTACAGTAATAGCTACATTTTGACAAGTTTATAATCGAGGCCAGTCAAGCGACAAAATTTGAATAATTAAAGTTGATATTAATCAACTAGACGAAAATTGTAAATTTGATTTAAACCACAAGAGACTCAATTATTTCAACGTCCAAGTTACGCGTCATATATTTTTTACCGTGTATGGTCAGGCAGGGTTTCTAAGACTTCTCTTGTATAATGAAACATTTTTTTACACAAGAACGATCTCATTATACAACATTCTATACATAATTCTTTCGTCAATATCGTGGCATGTGTTTTCCTCGCATTTTTGTCTTTTATTTTATCGGCGCCATGTCGTTTTAATCATTTATGCGAAGCACATTGCATTGTCGATCTCTATTGTGACGCGGATTCATCTCTGAATGAAAATGTAAATGGGCGAATACATTCCAAGATACATCCCACGTTCTCCGATACTGCGCTAATCTCCTAGACACGTTAAACATTGTAAATAGCAATAAACGACGATAGACGGATGCCACGATCGTTGATTGTGAAATTCTCGAGGACACGCTATATTGCGCTCTTAAACGGTATATAATTAAGAAAAAATCTCCGTGTTAATATCCATTCCGGGATATCGAATATCTAAATTACGACTCGACGCACATTTTAGCAATACGCGGCATTTTGTTTCTCATATTCCAAACTATTGTCATACATCGAATCATACTTTCTTCGATTGAATAAGAGAAAAAAAAAAAGCTTTCTTGAAACCCGACGTCTCTCTAATCTCTATTTTCATGGCTTTTCATGTGATTATTTTCCGGCTTCTATCCAGCTTTCTTTCGACAAGCTTTTCTGTTTAGACAATATTTCTTTCACTCGCGTGCGCGGATAAGCTGCTAAACATTCATAATACGATAAGTGGTTTATTTCTTGTATCATCTCTCGAGGCTATTTGCTTTATTTTACTCTCGACACGTTACGCGAGCGATCAAATTTTCACGCGAAGAGCCACGGCTTCTACCATTTAACCGGTTCATCATTTGAACGTGATACGCAATAAGTACACTTGACTCGCTGTCGCTATCACGATCGCGTGATCGAGAATTACTATTAATATTGAGATATTTCGTGAGAGAAAAAAAAACGCGCAGGATATATATTTATCTTATACGCGCGCGCGTGATTTCATTCGGTCGGTAATCGTCCATCACCGACTCGCGTGATTTTCTTCAAAGGCTGAATTTTACACGATTTTTATTACACGCTTTACCGCGCTTTATTATACATATATTGACACGCTTGTTTTACGATAAACGTAAAATCGTAAGGATCCTCGATAATCATTTCGAAGGGATTAGATGAGAGACAGTTTTCTAGTCGAGTCATGGGAGTGAGAGATAATTTTGCAAGGAAAGGTGTACAATTTTGACAACGAGCGGCGGTAAAGCTTATCTTCGACATCTAAAATACAATTTGTCGTTTATCTTTTATCGATTAGTTCTTCTAATCCGTCTTCTCTTGTAATTTTCTGCCTAAATATCGGCTATAATTTTACCTAGCGTGATATAATTATACATTTATTTCCTTGCTATATTCCTCGCGAGATAGCGATTTGCATTCTCTCTCAGCGAAAACATCACACGCAAATATTATTGCCGATAATCGAGAGAAGCGCGTGTATATGCGATTTGTAAGCGCGCAATTTGTGCGTGCGATTATTTTTTTATATAGAGGGTGTACTTCTTTTCTTTCTACCCTTCTCTATCCTTTTTTTACTTCTATTTTCTATACTGCATCTCTTTGTACATATAAATTTATCTGGTGTGGATCTTCCAGTATAATGTATTTATTTTTATCATCTTTCTTCTTTCTTCTTCTTCGTTTTTTTTTTCTTTTTCCAAAACGGCGGTATCACGATTGTGTATATGAGAGAGGGAGAAAATGTAGAAATATTTCGAAAAGCTTTCCCGAATATTTCCTTATAGACGCAATTACAGAGCTCATTCTCTTATCGTTCTTTCGCTTATATCTTGCGCTTTTCCTTTCCTTTGTCCCTTTGTTCTCCCTCCCGCCGATATATCCGATGTTTCACGTGATTTTTGATAAATTTGAAATTGAATAAGGAAAAAAGGAAAAAGAAAGAGAGGAAGAGTGTGTGTTATTATATTGAACAATAGTAAATTATGTGAAAGAGGAATTTTTTAAATAAAAATATATGTACTATATTATACACTTGTATTATATAATTTGCTGAGGCTGAGGTTTCGCCAAGGGAGAGCTCTTCATCTTTAACCGCTCATAAGTGGAAAATTATATTGGCATATCGATATTTTAGTTGAGCAAGGATATTTTTTTTCCAAATTGCTCGAATAGAATCTATCGTTAAAATTAAACGCGATCATCGTGAAACACCGTGTATAATTATGATATCAATGCACGCGCACTGATAGTGCCCTGGTTTTTTTCCTACACTCGGTCGTCTCTCGTTAATATAACGCATTTTTATCGCGTAATTATAGTCCGCGATGTTTGCGACTACGCACTATCGAAGCTGCGATATGCATATTATTTGCGTATATTTTTTTGCACACTTAAATACACACGCAGTACATATATTGAGTATATTATGGCGAAACTATAATTTTCATATCGTAGTTTTAAAGCGGGTATTGTAAGAGTGTGTTTGTGTTACGATTGCAAAAAGTTATTTGACAGGAACGGGTTGAGAAAAAACTTGAATAATAACGAGGTAATAAAGGTTTGTCGTGACCGAGGCCATTAATAAGCACTGTGTATTGCGATGTGATTGCTATGTTAATGATCGAATATACATAAGCGACTCGAAATTTGCATTTAAGACGAGTGAAACCAGCGACGAAAATTTTTCGGTAATTTAATCGACGTCGTTTCGTTTACTTATCTTTAAGCCCTAAACATTCACATATATTTGTCGTTGTATGAATACGACTAACGTCCATTATATTTTTTAAACGATAAAGTGTATAAATCATAGAAAGTCGTTGGAGAGAAATTTATTGATTCCTAATATAATTAATTGGCGCGTGACAATGTAATCTCGCGAAAATTGAGTGTATTTTTCACTTGATATTTATATAAGAGTCCGTTTGTTGGCAATTTGTCGCCGATTTCACTCACGCGAGTGAAAACGTTCATGTTTAGACTATTCTTAGGGACGTGCGTGGAATGATTGCGGATTGACGTGTGTAAAGCATTAATTATTAATAAGCTATGCCGTAAGCGTCACGATATCACGAGGAAATCCATCTTTGTGGTATCTTTCATTTTTAAACGTCGCTTTGTCCTGCCTTCGATATAAGCGATATGCGAAAGAATCGTTCGTAATATTAGATAAAAGAAAGAAATAGGGACGAGCGACTTGCACACGCGATACGTGTGGTGTCCTAGTTGTAACGATCAAATGCATTTCTTAAATGCAATTTCTGGATCACCGATATTTCAATAAAATTCGCTCGAGACACCAAGTTTCGAAAGCGAATTTCTTCATGTAAAATAAGTAAAAGAAATTGATAAGCACAATCGTTTATGCACACAAAACGTAATCAGGGCTGTTTCGCATCGATAAGGGGGATGAAAACTGATTGAAATCGATATGTCGACGAGTTCGGATTTCGATATGATACGAGAAAGGGAATGATCTCTGTAATTATTCTCTCGGCAAGGAAAGCAAAGGAGACACTACAGGATACACACTACAGATCGCAGCGTTTGAACTCGACGAAAATTGTTAGCTGTCAAAAGGAACACGTGCGCGAGGATGCATCATGCGAATCATAAGTCGCCGTTGTTGGCGTGCCGAACTTTACCTCCAATTGTGATATGTTGTGCTGAATGATCCACGCGCGAATCAGACAGCGTCCGTCAACAGCCATCGACTGCCAAACTCGAGATTTCTCTTATAGGTTCCTCGCAGCGTGTGTATTGGGATACTTATGGAGCGCAAGAGAGTAGCTCGTTGACGTATAATCGGCGCGCTTTTCACAAACCGCTTCTTTTTTTTTTCTCTCTCCCTTCGAGTTCCTTTAGCGCCACGAGAACGAAATCCACGAATGCGATTTGTACTTGCTGATCTACTATTGTTGATCTGTACATCGATGTACGGCGATCTTATATTCGGTAGCAAGAATCTGACTGCTATATTATTTCAACTTTGCGATGTGCCCTCTTATCATTTCCACGAAGATTAGACTTATTGTTAGGCTCTCCTGTATTTTTATCTTCCCCCTTTTTTTTTTTTTTGCAAATAATTTATTTTTCGCGCAAACGCGAGCTAAATTGCGAGCCGGGTCGCGCAAGGATTGCTTTTCTGGAGGTGAAAACGAAATGAGCTCAAGGACGCCGCGAATGTTAATATAATAATTTTAAGTGAATGAGATAGGGAGCGACGAAGCTACTTTGTATCGAGGAACGCGTTCTTCTTAATCGTAGGGGAAGCGCGAACTCTACAGCGAGCACCGAATATGGCCACTACTTCGTTTTCGTAAGACGTATCTTGAAAATATTTGTATGTAAATGAATGACAAAATAATAAAAAGGATATACGCTGTAAGAGAGATTTTCCTTTCTCTCTCTCTCTTCATATGTATTCATCCAAGTAGATAGCGGATATATCACGTAAGTATCATCATTTTTTCAAAAAGGAGAGAAGACGCATGCATTAAAAAAAATCGATATATTCATATAAAAAAATTCTTATATTTTACGAATTAAAATTTTATTTTGATATGACATTTATTCACGAATATATTGTCTCTCTCTCTCTTTCTTTTACTCGGCAATATTCTTAAGTAAAGCTTAAGAAACAGTGTTCTTTGATGTGTTTACTCGCCGCGGCCTGATTTCTTGAATTATGTCGACTCGACGAGAAATAACGTGAGGGGGTGGGGGATTTTCTTGATTAAAGGTAGGGATATGGATTTTGTGTTCGCGTGTCTTCACGCACATGTCTCGTGCGAATGAAATGTTTCTCGGAGTTATTTTTAGATCGACGTCATCATGCTTACGCGTTATCCACAGCTGGAACAAAGTTTTACTTCTGATATGACCTAGTGCTCGCAATAAACATCAAATGCCAATCGAGATATTCAATGCACAGTTTAATGTACGATAACACAAATGATAAATAATGTAATAATGTAATATAAAAAAAAGAAAGAAAAAGAGAGAAATGAAGATGAAACGAAATTGGTGGCACGAGTTTCGATTCAAAATTTTGACATGTCATTATGCAAAGATATAATAATATAAACTCTATTAATTTTTATTATTAAAGAACAAAATTAGATTTAAGGCAGAGAAAAAGAGTTTACAATATGTTGTAAGACAATATATATCGAGTACGAGTGCGTTTACCTCGCATCGATTGTCCGGCTCAATTCGGTCAAATCGCCAGCATGGTATTTTTGTTTTATTCAACGATCGATCTTCAACAACAACCCTGTTTACTCGGTCCCTTTCTTGCTTTGTCCGAGATTACTAGATCTAAGTTCGATATTTCGTGTGACTATTTACACCGATGATGGATTCTTCGTTACGTCATTTACACGCGCTGACTCAGCATGCCTATATTCTTTTTGATTACGCAATTATTTACATCGATGTATAATTTATCATAATTTATTTGAATCATCTGATAGTAGATTCCCAACAAACACGCATGACTTATAGTCAAATTATTCAGGTATCTTGAGATCTAAATGTGCAAACGTAAAAAAAGACAAATAAAAATTTAATATGTAATAAAGGAAAAAAATATCCTATATGAAATAAAATGAAATAAAATTAAAAATATCTTATATCCTATATAAATATATTTTAATTTCTTTTTATTTAAGGTTTCCAAAGCTTTTCCGGGTTACTCTTTTTGCTGCGATCTCCGATATATAATTTTACTTTTTATTTTGGAAACCCTTGATTTAAATTGTAAGAATGTTGCGTAACGCAAATAAAAAGATCCTATCTTAGTAAGGGGATAGCGAGGTCGGCGAAAGTTCGTCAAAAGTCAGCGCAAGTTCAAAGGCAGTGATCTCTAAAGATCATCCGCTTTTGCATTGTAAATTTACAGGTTGCTCGTACATGTTTGCATATAATATATTTGTTTTCGCCCCTACATTCCTGTATTTTTCCTTCGCCAAAGACATATTCCCTCTCCTTTTTTTCCTCCGATGTCTCGCAATCGGTATATCGAGTAAATAGCCATCTCGTTCTGAGCGGAAAAAACGTAACGCTCGATGCAACCGAAGGGAGAGCACGGACCTTATTCCCCGTGTCAAGGTAACGGGCGACGATTCGTCGTGAGGTCGAGACCGGTGGTGGTTGCGCAGCGGATCGATATGGGACCGCGGTACCATGACCGGCGACATATAGGGCGGGCCAGAAATTCTCCGATACTCTCAGCTTTCGTCGCCGAGGAATGCAAAAACATCGACATTGTTGGAAAAGAAAGGAATCATTTTTGTGCGGTTGCGAAAGTGCATTGGAGATTAATTAATCGATTCTATTGATCCGAATTGTTTGTTTATTGGAAGAATTTTTTTTTTGAAGCTTTTTCTTTCGATAAAGATGACGATAAAAAATATTGTGCGTTTGATTCTCTTTTTTGGAGCAAGATTGTTTTTATTCGGGTCTTTTATCGTGTTCGTTGTCTCTTATCAATCTTCTATTCGTTGTTAATGCCTGAGGCGTAACTTTGAATATAACTCCATACAAACTCACCCCATGGAGCTACACGCGGTTCGTTCCCCTATATTCTCGGATGCTTGAAAGAAAATTTCAACCCTCAATTGCGGTGGAAATTTTCAATTCACACTTGAGACTAAAATTTCGATACACGCGATTATCGACACAATTCTAATTCCTGCAAAGTTTATGAAAGTGAGAATCTTCATTTTTAAAAATTTAAGTATTATTCAAGTTTTTTGAACGCCTCGTTTAAAGATAAAATTGTCCACAACAACTTCTGAAAAAAATATTTGAAACAAGTTGCAGGTTTTCGTGGAGGAAAATGTTGGGGGAAAATAATCTGCAGTGAGGAACCTCATGGGACACCCTATATTTCGAGATGTAGAGTAATGTTTTTGTCCTCGCGATCCCTTCTCCTCCCTTATCGCAACGAACATCTCGTCTCGTGGGAGGGTGCGAGAGAAAGAGCGCGAAAAGGAGTCTTCTTCGGGGAAGAACGAGGAAGTTGCCTCGAAGGGAGCGTACTCCCTCGCTCGGGTCGGACTCTGGCGGGGGTTTCCCCTCCGAGTCGACCAGCGAGCGGTGTGTTGAGCGGACACGATCGGCTGATTAATCGAAAGTCAGACTGCCGCGGACCGCCGCCGCGACCGGCGTCGCGTAGTATCCATTTCGAGGAAGGCAACTAATCGTCGCATCTAACGTTCTTCTTGTTGTTGTTGCCGCCTTTCCGCGGAGCGGAATAAAGTGTGACGTGAATGAGACAGCCGCATGCGAGCGTGTCTGTGTACAATTAACAGTATGTCATTTGATTGTATGTTACTTGAATCTGCGATTCCGTCGATAATCTATATCCGATTAAAAAAATGTGATTCTCGAAATTATCCGATGGATTGGATTTGAACGATACAGGATAAAAGACACTTAATGCCAATAAATCCAAATAAACGCAGTGCCCAGGGATAGTGCAAAAAGAGCAAAATTGCATAGATATGTGTAACAAAAGTTTATTCTCTTATCTGTTCTTCAAATTGCTCGTTGTTCGACGATCTAATTAATTTGGATACGATGGGATTGCATCCGGATGGACGCAATGCGCAAAGATATTGCAGTTATGTGTCCAAAAGTATCCCAATTTCGAGTGTGTAGTAAAATCTTCCCGTTTAATTTGTGTGCAAAAGAATATCATCTTTTTTTTATTGTTCGCGAATATAAAAAATATCGCGTTATGAATAATTTTGACAGTTGCGTTTTGGAACAATATTGCTTGACGTTTTCACGCGAGAGACTTTCTTCCTTGTGTGATTATTTAGGAAATTAACCGATGCAAATTAGCATAATGTCAGGGACATTGAAAAGATCCCTTTTTATTCGTATAACAAAAGTCGCCTTGCCCTTTATCAAATTAATCGATACGCAGCAGTACATTTCGAACGGTTTTACAATCGTGGAAATATATATTTGTATATATGTATGTATAGTTCATTGTTTATTATGTTGATTATCAATGAAAATAGTTGACACGCGTGGAAATTGTCTTTGTGAAAACAACATAAAAAACAGATTTCTTTTCACAATAATAAAAAATAAATAAATCGATTAATTAATTATTTAAATTTAAAATGTAAATTCGTGTGAATTTATTTTTTGTTCGACCATTGTTTGAGAGGTAAATAAAAAAAGCAACGTGTGTATTTGATATCGCGCAACTTAATTCATCATAAATTCTTTGCTAATGAATTTTTAATTTTATTTATATTGGTTTTTAATTTTACTTATTTTCGGCTCGAGAAATACTTGCGAGTCAACTTGAGAATGTATGTTTATCTCTGTTCTTTTTTCATGCAGCAAAATACCTTCTATCACGTTTCGGAAAAGCGAACAACGCTTTCTGATCGAGGACAAGACGAGTTTTATCTTTGACACGAATCGTCAACAAGATTCCTCGAAGTTTTGTACAACAAAACATGGCTATTTGACTTTGACAGACACACGAGTTCACGACGACGAATAAGGATACGGAACGAATGTTAATGATTAAACTATACGCAATGACCGCGATAAAAAGTGAACGCGCGAACACTTTCCATGTGCTGGAGAAGGCGAAGCGAAAGTATAACGGCACTTACTTCAAGCAAGACATTCACCGGGTTTCGCGATTTCGTTTCGCTCTTTCGTTCATCGAATAGTGAACGTATCGATCACGTCATTCGACGTAAACAAGAACAATTCTCTTGAACAGAATTGCCTTTAATAAGCACTAAGAGTTGAAAGAGAGAGAGAGAGAGAGAGAGAGAGAGAAAGAAGAAAAGCCGGTACAAATGTATCTGTTTTTCTTTTTACACGTTATTGTAAATGTCATGTAAAACCTTTTGGCGATTTACATTTATTATAAGGAGAACATTTCGAGAAAAATTTTTGTTCTCCAAATCTTTCCATCGTTCAATTTTTTATGACGTTCTTCTCTCGGCAGCTTTATAAGCTCTCATTGTTTTTTTCATGAATGACCCGTCCGATTGATCCCGATCTTTGATTGATAACTCGAGATTGAATTTGCATCACTTGCCAGCAGCTAGAATCCTCCTCTCTCAATGTGGTCAATAATATTTTTCGAGCACGTGGTATACGTGTCTCTCTTTCTTTCTCTTTCTCTCTTTGTCTCCTTATCTTTCGGACGAGAGAAAATTATGACAGTCGAGTGATAAGACATCGCCAAGGTTGCTGGCATGCAAGTTTCATTCTTACGTCCACTCGCCGTAACCTGTTATCATTTACCACCAACGAACGACACCGGTGATAGCCGGCTAAAAATATTCGTTAACGCGCGATGTAGAATAATGCAATTGTAAAAAAATGTTTTTGCCTTG